GCCATTGTGGTCCCTTCCAACCTCACTAATTTTGTACTTCATGCACAAAACCAGTAAAGCTTATTAGGAGTATCCTACTCCTTGTATCCAACTGTGTCATCCCTCTGTGTAAAACAGAGGACATGTTCTTTGAGCCTGCAGGATTTATGACTTTTTCCAGTCAGTTGCAGCAAACAGAACTGACCTTGAATGCTCCAGAGACATTTTTTCCCCCATCTGAAGTATCTTATGAAGTTGTGTGACTTTGAAGGCCTTTTCCAGCCCAGGCCTCCTGCTGGTGCACAGGGACACCCTGCCCTCAGCCACAACTCCACAACTCACCCAGCTCACAGGTCACTACTGCTAACTCCACTTCTGTGACCGATGGAGCCTCATCCAACTGCACCCAACAGCAGCACATCAGCTTCTTCCTTCCCCCGTCCCTGCTGCAGCCAGCACGAATTCATACACCGTGTACAAACACGTCAGAGCACCCAGAGGACATCTCCGAGGTGACACCTAACCACGAGAGCTTCCCCTCAGCAGGACCGGGACGCAGCGAGAGCTCTCAGAAAGCAGAGCACAAACCCCAGGCCAACTCACCAGTTTGACAGCCTCCTGGGCTGCCTCCTTAGTGCAGAAGGTGACAAAGGCGTATCCCCGGTTGAGGCCGGTGAGCGGGTCCATCATCAGGCGCAGGTCCCAGATGGGCCCTGCCTTCTCGAACAGCGGGACCAGCTCGTCCTCGAACAGGTCTCTGGGAATCTTGCCCACGAAGATCTGCAACAGACACGCAGGGCACTGCTTGTGCAACAGCCTCCCACGAGCAGCACACCTGCCCACACAGACCGACACTCCTCCTACCTCTGTGCCCACCGAGGGCTGTGGTCCTGCGTACACAGGCTCTGGGGGGGGCCCGCCGTACTTCCTCTGCCCAGTGGTCACGTCCAGAGTGTAGCCTGTTCTCTCCAGCAGTGCCTTCAACACAGAAACTTAGAGCTTTACAGACTGAGCAAGTTCAGCTGCACTTCATTCACAGACAGACATGCTTATAATCCCTTTCCAGCCGCACTGCTTTGAAGCTCTCTCAGGCAGACAAACCTACTGCCAGGAGCACAAACTTGGAGAACAATTAACACAACTATCAGGTAATGAAGCTCTGCTGGAAAACAGAGAGATTCACACACAGTGTTCCCAATTCCTTCATTTTCATACAAAAAAGCCAAGCGATAGAATAGCAACCTTCCCTCTAATTAGGAAGATCTTAGTCTGAGCCACTTCTTGTTTTGGCATGTCCCATCCTGCAGACATTAATGCACAAGAGTTCCCTTCACTTAATGAGATTACTCATAGGTGTGAAGTTAACGAAGACAGGCTGAAGTGCTTACAGCCCTGCACAGTGCCCACACTGTGGTGGGAGTGCTCCCCATCCCCTCAGCAAACTCCCCGGGGCATCCCAGCACAACTGCCCCTCACCACATCACTGAGGACAGACACAGACACACTTCACTACCAAACATGAGACACTCCTCAGTCTTTCACATTCTGCACAAAGACAACTCCACACACGAGGAAGCAGCATGCTGAACAAGCCCAGTTATAGACAGGAGCTGGGAATGTCACAACTGGAGTTTGGGAAATGCCACAGCCACCACCAGTGAAAGCTGCTTTAAGCTGTTAGCAAAGTCCTCTCAGCATTGTTGCCTCATGTGGCAGTGACAAAACCTGCACCACTTCTGTCAGTTTGTAAGTAACTCATGAGTAACAGCATCCCAGCCCCAGTCAGGAGCAAAAGAGATGCTCAGGCTTCACAGGGTACATAGTCACGTGCAACGAAACACTTCAAAATTTTACACTTCACACAGGTAACGTTAGAGGTGGAAGATTCTCTGGGGGTTTATGACACCACCTAAGCATGCTGGGATGGCTCTCCTTCAGCTTTGGTACAGCTGCTGATCTCAGGAGGCTCCTGCAGGAAGCACACAGGGCCCAGGAAAACATCTGTCCCAGCTAGGACAGTTTGGTGCACAGTTTGTGAGCACAGAGGTTATGTCACAAACCCATCACACTGTGTTTTCAGACACGTGGTACCTCCTCCCTATGGTGGGGCTGCTTTGGACCTGAACTGAAACGAGAAACAAACCAGCAGAGCACCCAAGTAGCAGTGGCTGAACTGGGAGAACTCTGCTGACAAGTTCCTGTGGATCTCCAACTGTCAATCAGTGTAAGTGTCTCAACAGGACACACCAAACTCAAGTGACTTTCACTTTTCTGTTCAGTTCCAGCAATCAACAGGGTACTAACTTCCCCCTGGAGGAGGAGGAAGAGGTGCAGGACAGGACTGCAAGTGACAGCTTTCAATGATGGCCAACAACCCACAATAACCTTCCCAAGACAAGCACCGTTCCAAACCAACCAGAGCATGTGTCACAATGGCTTTGGCCACACAGCTTGCGTTTTTAGGGACATACCTTAATTTTTGCCTCATCTGGTCCTTTGCTAGAATCTGCCACCTTGGTCCCCTGTTTCTCCCTCTGCCTGTATGTCTTCATCACTCCACATAAAAAGGCACTTTTGTTCTGCAAAAGACATATGGAACTTCAGTCCTGACACCAGGACACCCCAGAGCCTTGTGTTACCTTGAACTGACACATCTCACACGTCACACAGCCAGCCCTGAAGAGACCTGAACACATCTCTTCCCCTCAGCTACCAGTGACAGTCTCCAGTGCTGAACCTTACCTGAACATGTGAGAGATCGCTGTCTTTGAACTGCTGAAGCACTGCCAATGCACCTTCTTCATTGAACTCCTTTAAAGCTTCAATAGCTCTTTCATCTAGATCACTATGTGCAACTAGCCCTGCAGGAAAGGAAGGAATCACTCATGATACTTGGGCAGCAATCTTTGTCCAGCCACATTTAACACGCCTCAGCCACCCCTAAATCCATCACTGATTCAGCTGCTACACCTAAGAAACCACTTAGTTCTCCTGTAGTGAAACATTTAAGTGTCTTTAACCTTCTTTAATCACAAAGAAGTCAGGAGTCAAAGTCTGTGCATTAATGCACTCACTTGACTTCTCTGAGCCTCAGATGTTACACAGGCCAAGTTTGTTTTCAGTGTCCTGAGGCTGAATGCAGAAGGACCTACCAGAACCTACCCAGACCTGACTTAGCTGCCTAGAAAAGGTACTTTGGTGTGTTTGGAGAAGGCTACAGAGACAAATAACCTGCAGCACCCAAAAATGACCACTACAATCCAACACTCAAGCTTAGGCAGTGCAGCCACTGCCAACTCTGAGCAGACAACAGCACAACCTTTGCATCCCTGAGCTCAAACACCACCTCATGAAGTTATCGCTTGCACGAGCAGATGAACACCAAGGCTCCAGTTACTTACAGCCACCTACAGCAGCTGCAAGAAATGCACAGAGCCCACACCACCTAAAGCCAGGATGCCCATGGACACCTGCACACTGCTGCCCCTTCCACCCCTCAGCCCCAGCAGCCTGGCTCCAGGCTGAGCTCCCCCAACAGCTCAAAGCACTGGGGGTAAAACACCCACAGACCCAGGTACGACCGCCCTCCCCACCCCTCTGCAACCCACACAGAGTGTCTGTTCGACCCCACGACATCAGACCCCGACGAGACGCTGTACGCCGAGTCTGGCAAGCGACACACCTTACCTGCAACATAAATTTCGTCTAGTTTCTCAGCAACTTTCTGTGGTAAACCAGCATCAAGCAATGTCTGGAAATGCTCGGAATGGGTAACTGCAGCAGAAGTGTCCATGGGCTCTTCAGTACCATTCCCATTAACATGTTCAGTGGCCATGCTTCCAGCTATCTGTTCCAAGGCAACAAGCAGCAGTGTTAGCCCAGCACAGCTTCAGGCACGGCACCCCAGCGACAGCACCTGCAGCACAGGGGCCCAGGCCTCAGAGACAGGGAGACAAAGTGACTCTGGACTGTTTCCCTGATGGGACTTTTTGGCAGACCATGTCCCTTCTGCTTTCTCAAAGACCATTTCCCTGGAACTTTCTCACAGACCTGTCCCTGATGATAACTTTCGGTACACCGTTTCCCTGCAACTGTCTCCTAGGCCATTTCCCTGATGACACTTTTTGGCAGACCATGCCCCTGATGCCTTTTGTATACACCATTTCCCTTCTACTTCCCAGAGACCTTCTCCCTGGTGATACTCTCTTGTAGAGCACGTCCCTGGTACCTTTGGTAGACCATTTCCCTCCAACTTTCTTGCAGACCATGTCCCATGTGATACTTCTTGGTAGAGCATGTCCCTTCTACTTTCCCACAGCCCATTCCCCTGGTGACACTTTTTGGCAGACCACACCCCTGACACCTCCCTGCAGACAATTTCCCTACTTCTTTCTTGTAGACCTTTTCCCTTCTGCTTCCTCATGGATGATGCCCCTGATGATACTTTTTGGTAGACCATGTCCCTGAGACCATTTCCCTGCTACTTCCTCACAGACCATGTCCCATGTGAAACTTTTTGGCAGACCAAGTCCCTGGTACCTTCTGTATACACTATTTCCCTTCCACTTTCTCATAGAGCATTTGCAGACCATTTCCCTGCTACTTCCTCACAGACCATGTCCCATGTGATACTTTTTTTGGCAGACCATGTCCCTGGAACCTTTTGTGAACCATTTCTAGACCACTTCCCTGCCACTTTTCTCACAGACCATGTCTCTGGTACCTTTCATGGACCATTTCTAGATCATTTCCCTTCTACTTTGTCACAGACCACGTCTCATGCAATACTTTTTGACAGACCATATCCCTGGTACCTTCTGCATACACCATTTCCCTGCTACTTTCTCACAGACCATGTCTCTGGTACCTTTCGTGGACCATTTCTAGACCATTTCCCTGCTACTTCCTCGTAGTCCACATCCCATGTGATACTTTTTGGCAGATCATGTCCCTGGTACCTTTCATGGACCATCCCCAGCTTGTTTCCCTCCTACTTTCTCGCAGACCACGTCCCATGTGATACTTTTCGGCAGACCATGTCCCTGGTACCTTCTGTATATACCATTTCCTTTCTACTTTCTCACAGACCACATCCCTGGTCCCTTCCATGGACCATTCCCAGCCCATTCCCGTTCTACTTTCTCACAGCCCACGTCCCTGGTCCTTTTCATGGACCATTCCCAGCCCATGTCCCTGGTCCCTTTCGTGGACCGTTTCTAGACCATTTCCCTCCTACCTTCTCACAGACCATGCGATACTTTTTGGCAGACCACATCCCTGGTCCCTTCTGCATCCACCATTCCCCTTCTATTTTCCCACAGACCAAGTCTCTGGTCCCTTCCGTGGACCATTCCCAGCCCATTTCCCTCCTACTTTCCTGCAGGCCACGTCCCATGCGATACTTTTTGGCAGACCACGTGCCTGGTACCTTCTGTATATACCATTTCCCTTCTACTTCCTCACAGACCACGTCCCATGTGATACTTTTTGGCAGACCATGTCCCTGGTACCTTTCGTGGTCCATTCCCAGCCCACCTCTCCTTCACAGATCATGTCCCTGGTCCCTGCCGTGGACCATTCCCTTCTCCTTCCTCACACACCACATCCCCGGTCCCTTCCGTGGACCATTCCCAGCCCTTTTCCCTCCTACTTTCCCGCAGGCCACGTCCCATGTGATACTTTTTGGCAGACCACGTCCCTGGTCCCTTCCACGTACCATTCCCCCTCTCCTTCCTCACACACCACGTCCCTGGTCCCTTCCGTGGACCATTCCCCTTCCCCTTCCTCACACAGCACATCCCCAGTCCCTTCCACACACCATCCCCATCCCATTCCCCCTCTCCTTCCTCACACACCACATCCCCGGTCCCTTCCATGGCCCATTCCCAGCCCGTTTCCCTCCTACTTTCCCGCAGGCCACGTCCCATGCGATACTTTCTGGCAGACCATGTCCCTGATACCTTTCGTGGTCCATTCCCAGCCCATTCCCCTTCTCCTTCCTCACACCCCACACGTCTGATCCCTTCCACACCCCATCCCCATCCCATTCCCCCTCTCCTTCCTCACACACCACATCCCCGGTCCCTTCCATGGCCCATTCCCAGCCCGTTTCCCTCCTACTTTCCCGCAGGCCACGTCCCATGCGATACTTTCTGGCAGACCATGTCCCTGATACCTTTCGTGGTCCATTCCCAGCCCATTCCCCTTCTCCTTCCTCACACCCCACACGTCTGATCCCTTCCACACCCCATTCCCCTTCTCCCTCCTCACACCCCACATCCCCGCTCCCTTCCACGTACCACTCCCCTCCTCCTCCCTCACCACATCCCGCACGCTACTTTCCGCCCGTCTCCCTACCCCCTTTTCTTATTTTTTTTTTCAATCTTTTTTTTTTTTTTTTTTTTTTGCGGCCCACAGACTCTCCGCGGCGAAACAAAGCGCGGCGCCCGAACACGTGCTCGCTCGGAGGGGTGATAGGGAAGAAGAAGAAGAAGAAAAAGAAGAAGCAGCAGCTTCACCGCCAGGAGGACAACACTAGGCCGCGCGGTTCAACCCTCAGGGGCTCCGC